CCAGAAAAAGCAGCTAAAAGATGAATCAATTTTAGTATTTATTTTAAATGCAAAAATAGTCTCAAGTAATCTTTGCATAAGAGGATCAAAACAAAGCAGTTCCCAAATGACATCCATTCCCTAAGTAGGTCATAACAATAGTAATGTAGTACATAATAACAAATATTATGATACAGTAATAATTAAAGTAACTAGATATAGTGCTAAGGCCACACAATATTGTCACATGCATCACAAAGTAGTGCATTGTAATTAACCCGAATTTGTCTGGGTTTTTGGTCGTCCATTCGTAATTATGAGGTCTCCATAGGTCGGACATACTTAACCTGGGACTGACTGTATGTCTGAGTAGTAAAGTATGAAAATGCAACAAGGAGTTAAGAAAAATAACAGTCAAGTAACAAGCACAGCTTTTCTGGCATAGTAAAAAAAAGCCTGAATCAGCCTTGTTCTGGACTGGCATGGAAGGGGAAACAGGGATTCATTACAGTCCCTTGGGGGTTTGCAGTGAAATCTCAGAGACAAAAGCAGAGAAAGTACAGCTTTGGTCAACTTTTGTTGTTTTTGCTTCAACAGCAGGGTTCAGAAACTCTGACACTTTTGCTTTGGGTTAGGTAATTAAATGTTTTAGATTCAGTTTTAGATTCAGTTACCCCATACAAGTTGACAGCATGTTAGACTAATTTGCTGTTTGTTGAGGTCCAAGATTACAACATAAAATTGAAATGTCATTGTCATGTTTTCAAAGGAACATGATTCAAAGATTAAATATGAAATTAATATCTTGTGCTTCGTGGAGACATTTTGCACACTTGTGGGATGGGTTCTTACACCTAGTGGCCTAACAAATCACATGACACATCACATGACACATCATATGACAGCACATGCAAAGCTTGGCTGTGTCCTAATTCAGGGGCTGCATCCTCCGTAGCACGCGGTCAGCGATGGTGCAGGCTTTGTAGGCTGCGTTCTTCGAAGGTCAGACTGAATGCCACTGTGACGCTTTCGGTCTTCAGATGCAGCCTTAGAAGGGTGTAGCCCCTGAATTCGGACACAGCCCCTGTTTGGCTGCCTGATAGTCTAACTGCTGTGGTCCTCAGTGAAGCACGTTTCCTTCTGCATGTTCAAGCCATGGTAGGCAAGCACTGCAGGCACTGCAGCACTGCACCTTATCGTGGTCAGCATGTCCCGCACTGCACCTTATAGTGGTCAGCATGTCCCACGGTTATTAGAATAGACTGATCTATCCACAATCTATAAGATACCATCAAATTGGGCTTGCGGTCGGAGCAGGAGATATTTCCTGCTTCCCCAGGGTTTGTTTGCATAACAGCTCAGCTCACCGAATGGCTGGAGGCCCATTTGGCACTAAGAAACAAATGCAGTGTTTATGTGTTTATGGGGCACCAAGCTGGTCATTTGTCACTGTTCAGTCTGTCTGCTTAAAACTATAATCCTGCAGTGATTGTAACCTATAAGCATTCATGCCTCTGGCTCTGGTCTGCAGTATATTTGTGTCTCAGTGTTTCAGTTAATGACAAATCATGGTCTTTTGCAGAGTAATTTTTAGAAGAATATTACTGTACCATCACGGTTACTTGCTTTATTTATGGTTATATATTGTTCTTCCAAATCTCTTCCCATAACCCAGAAAAATATTTGAGGATTGATTTATTTGTATGAATGAGAGAAGTTCAGGAGAACAATTGTAGGCATATATCACCACCTCATTGAGAAAAGATTTTTTGTGAGGAATCACTAAATAACGTTTTAGGACCCGCTGCAACTTCTGGCATTGAACCTGATACTAATGAATTTACTTCAGTCAGGGGACTTGCCTGGACAGGACCAGTGTTCATGGATCTAGGAAGTAACATTACTGCTGATCTAAGCTTTGACAATAACCAAATGCAACTTCTTTCACGTTCATTTGACACATAAATCAAAATGCTTAAATATATATGTTAAATCAATTGCAGGAGGGGTAGTATAGATGCAGTGGAGGGTGTTGAATGTTACTATCGTTGATTTCATAGCTTAGTTGAACATCTGCAGAACGAGAAATGAGAAACGTCAATCACGGCAGTGGAAGAATGAATGTATTGGAGGTCAATGGTTGTGTGCACTCTTACGATACTGGAAAAATAATGTTCCACCAGTGAGCCAAGAAACCTGCATGCCTGTATATACCACTAATATACCAAGTACGTGTATATACCATCTATATACCAAATACCTGAATATATCACCTATATACCAATTACCTGTATATACCACCTGTATACCCAGAGACTGTATATGCCACCTAAATACCAAGTGCCTGTATATACCACCTATATACCAAGTGCTGGTATATACCAAGACTTCCTGTGTTATGCATATAAACACTATTGATTCTTTGGAAATCACAATTACGCTTGCATGAAAACTAAGAACTCATAACAGAGATGATCCTAAAAGAGTTAAGAATGTTTTCTTAAAATCAGTCACTCTAATTGTACACAACAAGAACAGTGAAGGCAGACAATCCAGTTGTCTCGTTTTTTTCTTTGTCAGAATATTTTTCTGTTTTCTGTTCAAATAATCTGGTAGAGAGAGAGGGAAAGTTTGGGGGAGAGGTAATCAACCTTATCTCAGGCTGTCCCATAGTGAAAATCCGCCCATTAGAGGAAACGAGAGCTTCCTGTTGTTTTTATAGAGCTTTCTTTCACAAATGTTGTGATATTTCATCTGTTTTCAGCTCTGGTGAGGGTCAAATGCATTATCCAGAAATGAAAAGGGCTTTTTCGTCTTTGTCTTTTCTTCTAAAGATTCTCACATTTGAATTTTGGGGTAAGTGAATTATTCTTTTAGGAAGCAATTAAAGACTTTTAAGAAGAAAGCTGTTATTGTAACTGAGAATAACTTTTTTTTTTAATGTTCCCTGCCTTGAATGTATTAAAAACTCCCTGGAAATGGTTGTTAACTTTGACTTAGATCCAAGAAGCATCGCTCTTTGGGGACTATACCATTATTTGATACGTGCCGTGCTATGAAACGCACTGTATTCAGATCGGGGGCTAATTCCATTGTCAAAGTGTGACACGTAAAGAGAGACTAGATCTAAATGAAGAAATATACTGTATGGAGGAAGGCTGTTGACCAGCACTGAAACCTGTCAGCATTTTTGTTATTCGCATATAGTATATAGCGGCTGGCATCCTATTCAGGGTGTTTCCCTGCTTTGTGTCCTGCTTTGTGTCCTGTGCTGCCTGGAACAGACTCCGGGGGCCCCTGCGACCTTGATCAGGATAAGCGCTTGAAAGACGGAAAACCATCGTATATGCAGCCCCAGAAACTGTCTGTGTGTTTCTCTAGTGTGAAACAAGAGTCTGTAATTCCTAAAATGTGGGAAGAATCTGATAGCACGGGAATAGACACAACTTGAAAAGAGGAAATTCAAAAAAAAATTTCACAATATCGGTTTTTAGTAGGTGGTGCTGGGGGGGGGGGGTTCACATGTTAAAGTTTCAGTTGGAGGCAGCGGCAGTTTAATGAAATTAAAGTTTAAGTTGGTATGCAGCTGATTGACTAAATTATCTTGCACAAATATTCAACAGCTAAGAAAATAAAGGACTTGGTTCAATGGAAATCTAACAAATGAAGCAAACTAATATTCTTCTTCTTCCCCGTGGCTTAGATTCTCTGTGTAGCTTTACTGACTTGCCATTTTCGATGTTATCTGAGTTATTTAGTAATATAGAGAGTCCCCAGGATACAAACCGGTTCCGTTTCAAGAGCAGGTTCGCGAGTCCAAAAGTCCAAAAAAGTTAGCTTAGGCGTGCAGCTGATGGAGCTCCGACTCCCTCCCCTCAACTCCTGTTGAAAAGAAGCATCAGAGATTGGAACCAACTTGCGCACTGTCATGGAATTTGAAATTCCTGCACGATTTTTAATTTTTCAATTATTGAAACAATTTCTAATTTATTCGACACACACATTCACATCTTTGAAAGTTTGCATCTTGGAATTTAATATTTGGAGGATTTTCTGTATGTACAGTATAGAAGTAGTTAGAACTGTTGCCTCACATCACTTGGGCCAAGGTCTACGAACGATGAGTTTGCATGTTCTTCCCATGTCGTTTTTTTTTTTGGGTTCTACACTTTCCCCCCACAGACTAGTTGGAATTGTCAAATTGTCCATAGCTGTGAATGGTGTCTGAGTGTGCCCTGTGATGGGTTGGTGCCCCATCCTGGGTTATTCTCTGCCCTGCACTGACAGGAAAAAAAACAATTTGTACCTTTCAAGGTATAGAAATGGACCATTGTACCATTGGGAGAACTTCATTGTTCCGTGTACCTTGGGGCACAAAACTGTACCAGGGTTGTACCACTTTTCCCTGACAGTGTGTGTTTGTAGCTTCTGGGATAGACTCTGGACCAGCATGACACTGCATAAGACAATCTAGTATAGAAAATGGACAGACATGCACACCCCCCCTCCCCGTATATCGTATTTGGGGGAGGTTATGGAGCTTCTGGAGTGCTTGGGATCGCGCCATTTTCAAAGTCAGCAGCCTCTTTCGATCGACTGCTTTGGAGGAGAACATTTGGTCCCCGATGTCCATGTATAAACTTGCAGATTTAGTTACTTTCCCTTCCTTGTTCTTTAAATACATTTGTGGGGGGAAAAAAGTGACCAGTGATGGATTCAGTTCTGCCAGCATGATGTTTCATGCACCTGTTTCCTGTCTCGGTGTGTCGGCTGCACAGAACCATCTGTAATTTATACGGGGCAAATTTAATGTGAAAGATGCATCACCTCACCCAGCGTTCTTAGCGTAAATGCAGCAGCTTTTGTAGAGATGCAAGACCTCAAGGTCAGGGAAAGAATAGATGGAACAAAAACCGATGAAAGGAACCTGCACTGATTTTCTTATTTCTCACTGCAGTGTTGAACGTGGTGCTGGTGTATGGGGAAGATACACACGTGCTCACGACAGGTAAAGGCTATTTCTCATTTCTTAACATTTTCTTTGGCGAAATTCGTGCAATTCTATTTTATGGACCATAAAGTATCATTTTTATGCATGGCCCTATTTTCCTACAAATATACTTAATGGATTGGGTTCAACGTTTGCTTCTTGCTGAAAAAGACATTTGCGCACTGGAAAGCAAATATGGCTGACTTGTTAATACTTGGTCACATATTCTGAGATTTGACTTAAGGAAACCCTTTCTGTGTTTGTAAACACTTTCCCCCATTAAAGCAATAATTGCATGTCTGGGCTGCAAAATTGTCTTTATCTATGGCTGCCTCTTCCCTTTATCTCCGTGAACCTTATCTCTGCACAGCACTGCTGCATTGCCTAATCGTTATGGTACCTCAGCCAGAGCGAAACGTTGCCCCTCACCAGTGATAGCCCTTGGCCAAAACATCTGTCTGGCAGAAACAGCTTTGGGAGGGGGGAGGGGGGAGGGTAAGTCTGCGTAGAGGTGTGTGGCTTAATCTCTGAGGAACACACACCCTCCTTGTACATCCCCAGGGCTGGAGGTGCAGTGCAAGGGTCAAAAATCAGAGTAGGGGTAAATCTCTGGGGCAAGAAAGGGCTATACTGCCAAAAGGATACCCGTGCTAAACACCAAACACATAAAAAAAACAAAGCAAAACAAATATTATATCAGTCTCTTTTTTGGATGTCAGGAGTTTTTGTTACTGTGCATGTGGTTACAGTTTATTTTCATGGCTTGGTTGCCAGTCTTTTGATTTTATGTGGGTGGGTCTCCTTTAGTTGTGGGTTTTGCATCATTTCTTGCTCGGGGCAGGAGAGAATGGCCTTCAAACAGCTGGTAAGGTCTGATTACATCTATCCTGATGAACAAAAGCGGACTGGCGGCGGAACAGCCCAGAAATTAATACACATCATCTGCAGGAACACCCAAACTTACTCAAGATTACTTTCCGTCAAGAAATCTGCTGGCCTTCATGTTTACTTATGTTTCTTATTTAGCCACAGCTGCTCTCGAGATAAATCACATTCGAGGCTGGGAAGTTTATTGTCTGTGGGAAAAGGGAAAGGGAAGAAGTGTCTTCGCATGTGCGTCTAACCCCAACCCAAATGTGCTTTTTCGGAGAGGGGGCGCCTTCCTGGCCCTGAAACCAAACTACGACGAAATGATCACACGTACGTGGAAAATAAAGTTGTCCAGTCAGCTCTCAAAGTCTAGGACAAACAGGCACGGGGTGAGACATCTGGATAGCCTCTCTGTCTCGTGTTCACCCCACCGAGTTTCCTGTTATGCCTCGCTTCAGCAACAGTAAAAGTTCAGACTCTGTTCAGCCGCCGTAGCTGGAGAAAGCGTACCACCGTTGTGTTCTCTGACATGAGGATAATGCTCTGCTTTCTGGCAATTTTTCTGTCTGTAGCCTTGGGTAAGTTTCTGCAGCGCTGATGTGGCATGTTTGTCTGCGTAAACAGAACAGGCTGGGTGACAGTCCGCTATCAGTTCTAATGACGTTCTGCTAGGTAGGAGGGAAGAAAAAACACGCACATTTTATGTCTGCATTCACTGGAAGCTTAGCCAAGCTGCACTTATGCCTAGTTGCCTTCTTGACAGTTGTGTGCTTGTAATGTGATATTTGCCTGCTTTGGAAATAGTGTTTGCCAAATAAACAACTATAAATGCATTGCTTGCTTCTCTGCATTTGCTTCTGAGGTACTCAGACGTAGTTTGTAACAAAGCAATACTTCTTTGACATGATTGTGTTGGTGAATTGTTACTCTTTATGGCACCTGTGTGAATGGTTACGTGATGGTAAATGGTTTTGATATTTTTCTGTTTTTCGTTTTGCATTCAGCTTCTACAAATGAGACAATGAAAGGTATGGTGCATTACTTTTTGCATGCTCTTCGATGCTGAAAACATGACTGAATTAAATTGGAATCAGTTTGTCTCAATCTCATTGTAGCTACATCAACAGGATTATCATTCCTTAGTGTATTATAGGCATGATGCCATAAAATCTCCAGTTATGAACTAACATCAATGAAAATATTTTTAATTCATAGTGAAAACCACTGAAATCACCACATCATTGTACCGTGCAGTGATTTTTTGCATTAAATATCTCCTTTTCTGTCTTAGATCCTATCTGTCCGACATGCAACCATGAGTCATGTGACTGGGTTGAATGCTACAAGAATTTTGTTATTTTCAAATGCCTTCCGAGCTTTGAAAAGAGTTTGACGGATTATAATAACCACGAAAGGTGCACATGGGATACAATAAAACGGTGAGTGAATCTTTTGCATCCTCCAACAGATAGTTAGCTATATGCTTTTGAAACAGATGTTTAGCTTTTTCATTGGCGTTGTCATATACATTTGGAATAAGAACATATGTAGGCCTAATTTCTTTACCACGATAGCTGTAGTTAATTGTGTTATATGAGATTATAATGTAAATATATAAATAAAGTACAAGTATAGTAATAAGGATCCTCTTCAGCAGTGGATAGTAAAAGCTGATTTTTTTCAAAAGTCATTAATAGTGAGGGATTGTGCTCTTCGATGATAGGAACTTTGGTCTCATGCAGCGTCATGATATTGGGTATCAGTAAATGTCATGCGGCATCATTATATTGGGTATCAGTAAATGTCATGCGGCATCATTATATTGGGTATCAGTAAATGTCATGCGGCATCATTATATTGGGTATCAGTAAATGTCATGCGGCGTCATGATATTGGGTATCAGTAAATGTCATGCGGCGGCATGATATTGGGTATCAGTAAATGTCATGCGGCGTCATGATATTGGGTATCAGTAAATGTCATGCGGCGGCATGATATTGGGTATCAGTAAATGTCATGCGGCGTCATGATATTGGGTATCAGTAAATGTCATGCGGCGTCACAATATTGGGTATCAGTAAATCTCATGCGGTGTCACGATATTGGGTATCAGTAAATCTCATGCGGCGTCACGATATTGGGTATCAGTAAATCTCATGCGGCGTCATGATATTGGGTATCAGTAAATCTCATGCGGTGTCGTGAAATTGGGTATCAGTAAAGTCCTGGTATTCGGAGTCTCTCGCTGATATTCCACACCAACCCTTCTCTTCTGTTACCTCTGCTGCCCCATACAGATCTTACACTGAATTCACCATGTGCACCGAGCTGTACGCCGACTCCCTCAGGGTCCCGTGGCCCAACCAGCTGGTGGAGGACACCTTCGTGTGGATTCACGCCAAGTACTTCCAGGATTGTCTGGTCACTGAATTATACGACCCCCCTCCCAGTATCATCTTCGTCCTAGTGATGACTCCAATCTGCCTCATACCGGTCATGGTTACACTGGTGGTGCTGAAGACCAAAAACGGCGATAGCACCTCCTGATCGCCACAGAACTCAAGCCCCATCCTTCTCGCTACTTCCTTCACTCAGGCAACCATATGGCCCACAGGGAACCAAATTACCATCCCATGAAGTCTTCAGCTACTTCACACATTTTATGTGACCACGGCACAGTCATTCTACTTTTATACTCTGAATGAGCCTTCAGACCTTCTACGTACTGCCTTGAAGTACCCTACGAAAAAAATGTCGTCAGCTCTTTGGCTGAGAGTCACTTCATTACCGTCCACTCTACAGTTAATGGGTTTTATGCAAGCAAGATAACTGCTTTTTCACTTTGAGGTGCAATTCCAACAATAGAACAAAGCCAGGTCTATCAATTGTCCAAAGCGTCAAAAAAAAAAAAAATCCATTAACTATTTTTTTGTTGTGGATACATCATTATGGCTATCGCTCTTGAGCTCAGCCTGGTCTTCCCCTGGCCACAGAAGTGAGTGATGAGATATCGACAAATAGGGGACAGGACAGGATTCTTCAGGTGTCATTCTTGAATGATCTCCCTCAGCCGACATGTGACTGGCCAGTCCTGACTCAGTCACTTAACGACGTATGCTGAAAGCATTAACGAATTGTACACCAAACTAGATGTGATGAACGAGGAGCTTGTCTTGGCTTTTAGATTTGAATTGCTAAATGTTTTTTTTTTCTGATACTGGTGGTAACCCCAAGGACAGCCAAAATATACTTGGAATGTTGCATCAGACAAATGACAAGAGCTGGATGGCTTGCATGTATTTAAGCAACACAAAGATCATTTCATGGTTATGACCCTTTAAGGGATAGTGAACATTTCCGTCGCTACCTGCATTTGAGATTCTTATGACCTGTAACCAGTGCTTAATTTGTGCAGTTCAGAGCAGTTTGCGCTACACCAGCTCAAACTTAAAATTAATAATAGTTCAACTTTGGAACAAATTGGCCTACACATTGAACTAAAGAAATATATATTTATAAAATCAGCTGTGCTGTATTTCTTTGATATACATCCACCTAAATTAGTATGTTTTGCTTTTTTGACTTTTGATTTGAAAGAGAAAAATCACACCACGTGCATGCAGTAAAATCCACTTTTTGGCCCCTAATATAGGCTTAGGTGAGATTATCTTCTGGACCATTAAACTCACCTAAGAGGGTAAGTCATCTTATACTGTGATGGAACTATCAGGTGTAGATGCAGTTGTTTAAGCAGTTAATAGCGCATTACAGTTAAGACTGATTAGTCTAGGTGACGTCACTGAAAGGCAGCGTGCTGCAGCTCCTCATATAACGGTGATCGCAGTTGGTCTCTGGGATACTTATGAGGTCCGACACCTCAGAGTTTACAAACTAAGCACTGCCTGTAACCTTAGCTTCCGCTATGAATTTTTTATAATTCCCCCCCCCAAGTATAACTTTGTTAAACAGAAATGCTGGCAGCTTTTCTACTTGTTGTTTAATAAGCGTGACACCTGAGAAGCTGTCAAGTTATTCAGTAAAATCGCGCATATGGGGACCAATGTATATTTTCAAGTGAGCGGTAGAGGACAATAGCAGGAAGATTGCGGTTTCCTGCCTTTGTCTCCGGACCAGTATCCTTCCCCAGGGCTGCAGTACACCAGTGAATACATTCCAGAATATTTATTCAGGCATAATGTTGTACCTTAATGAGCACAAGACTTTTAAGACAATTGGTATTTCTGCCATGTTTTTCAGTTTTTTATTTGTTAGCAAATACTGTTGAAATAAAAACTTATATTAAACAATACTTCACGACTAATTGATTTTATTTCCATTGATTGTATTCTGAATTATGAATTGTTTTAGACAAGCAGGTATAGCAAAAATATTCCATGAATATATTCCCAGTAATGCACAAATTGTATCTAGTTTGCAACTGTGTGCCTCTCATAATGCATCATTTTTTTGAATTATAATACATATTATAATATATACAGTCACACACATATACAGGCACAATCAGTCACGTCATCTGCGACACAGCTGTGCTGGGGGATTGTATTCTTATGGGGACAATTTAAAACATTCTAAAAAAAAAAAAATCCGGCAAGTCAGCTGAAATTGGTTAATTCCATGGTTTCTCTACAGTGTGAAATCTTCAATGGATTAATTAAACTCCGGCTTGTAAACAGTAATATGCTGGCTTAATTAATACTCATTGGCATCTTGCAAAGTAAATGTTTAATAATGGACTCTGTGAATGTTTTGTCTGAAACTATTGTTCTTCCTCTTCGGGAACGTGGGTTTGACTTGGACGGCATTTCGGTGTTGCTTAGGTGATGTCTGGACCTACATACATAAATTAAGGGTAACTATTCCCTCATGTTGGATTCCGGGTTTCCAAGGGAGTAGTGGAGAGGAGGGGCGGAATTTAAGAGAACACTGGGATTCACTTGCAATGACCTCAGCAAGTGCCCCAGCAGGGGGGTGTCCTTCAGCACGCAGGGCCGAAATATGTGCGTATTGTACCGTTGTAATTACGTCCCTTTGTTTTCACAGTGGGCGGCTCTGGGCAGCACCGTCGCCTCGCACCTCTGCTCCCTGCGTGGAGTTGCCACGTTCTCCCCCACTTGGGTGGGTTTCCACTAGCTGATCTGGTTTCCTTGTGCTTCCGTGCTGCCTGGGGTTGGTGCCAAACCTCTAGGTAAGCAGATGGAAGATGGATGCACACTCTCATACTGACAAAAGTAACAGTTGAAACGATAACATTGAAATTAAATATTACAATTACAATAGAAGGCAAACAATAACACCACACTGTACACAATTTAAATATTTCACCTATCATCCCTCTCTCTCTCTTGGATTTTATATATTACATATATAAAATAAATAGCATCCACACACTACAAAATAATTTCTAACACTTTACTTGTGGGCACAAATAATGCAGTAGTACACTGTTAATTAATCTATTAATTAACCAGAAACTAAGTGTTATGTACTGATCCCATATTCGTTCATTAATTGGTCATAACGGTTTATGTATTTCATGCAATTACTATGTTTGTTCATGATTTGCACTTCAGTAGTAACTGACTACTAAGTTACTTGTGCCCTCTCGAGTAAAGTGTTACCAAATAATTTTTTATTTTTTTTCATATTAGACTGATAAAAAATGGTCAGTGTTGCAACTCTAATACGACTAAAACGCTCCGTTGTGCTACAATTTGATGTCCCATAAGATGGCTGTGATGTGTGAGATTTTGTTTGCATACTGGGAGCACTTTTGGTCAAATTTAAGGACGCCAGTAGGAATTAAATACTATAAAGTTACTGTTAGCATTATCATAAGTACATCTGCAGCATGTTTGTGGTTAAGTTTAAGGTTTACAATTATCTTGAGTTTCGCATCAGGGGTCCGCAGTGCTGGTCATGGATGGGCCAGTGAAAATGCAATGTTTCCTGTTACATGATCACCATTAACCATTGCAGTTCAGGAAGTACTTTGCTTAATTGCTTTTTTTTTGTTCTTTTTCATTTTTCAGCCCATGTGTTCTCTGTGAAAGGCTAGCACCCTGTTCAGAGTACCCTGGATGATGGCGGGAGTGAATTTTTAAAACCCAGCCTGCACTTACAATCGCAGGTTTAGAGATCAGCAATTGTACGTATGTATCTGATGCTTTGATTCAAAGTGACTTACAGCAGAGGAAATGGTTACATTGTATTCATGATTCCTGGATTTGCCCCTATTACTTTTGAATTAGAAGCACAGTGCTGCACTTCTGAGCTACAGAAGCTAATGCGCACAAGCCTTTGTGTCGTAAATAAGCTAAAGCTAAACTCATTTAGGTGTGTTTGCGCAAATAATGTTGTCTTCACGTTATTTTGATGATGTTCTCTCTGACAATGTAATCCTTTTTATCCTAATTTGAATTAATCAATAATTACAGTTAATAGCATAGACAGGTACAGTCAAACAGACATTGTTCCATGGAGTTATTGATTTCAAAACACAAAGAATTTAAGTTACGTTTTGTCAATTGTTATATCTAGAATGAAAACCTTCAGTGTGTCTCCCTGAAGGGTAGCTAGTGAAGGGGGGCCACATTAATGTCGGCTCCAGGCTCCATATGTGCCATATCTTGCCGGAGCAGTAGTGCCTACTTCGTGCCGGATCCTGTCGGAACGTCGCTCTGTTTTTTGACTGTCTGCTTTCCAGTACAGATTTGCATGGATTCACAGCTCTCTGCTTAAACAAACAAAAAAAAAAAACAGTAACATAAAATAAAAAAAAAAAAATTAATTAAGTATGTATTGTAACTTACAGACCAATTCTCACGCTATTTCCTGCCCTTTGTTAGATTAGATTTACTTCGATGGCATGTTTTTCGGCACGGCTTCCGGAACCTGCGTCTGCCTCGTTACCTCTCCACTCTCATATAACCTTCACATTCTGGCACCTTCTGACTGGCATCTTAAGCCCTGTGGAGCACCGTGGGGATGGGAAATTACCCTGGATAAAGGTCCAAGGTGATGAGTACTCCTCTAGCAGTACAGCCGCGGTACCTGTCCCCGGCCTCCAGGGCCCCGTTTGACTTCACACCTGGTAGTGCTGAGAGAGACGGGGCCTGGCCCCAGTCTGATGGGCCCCTTCCTGTCCGGCCGGGGTCAGGCCGGGCTCAGGCCCACCCAGCGATTAGCTCATTCTGCATGCGTCACTCCCCGGCCTCATGTCCTGGACACACCCTGGGAGTCACAGCCAAGCTCCCGGATAGGAGGGCTGCATGCCGCCTGCCTAACCCCATCGCCGCTCTCGGGGGCCCACGGGCATTTCGTGCTGGAGGTTAGAGGGGGGGACCCTGGTTCCTTCTTTTTTTACCAAGCTATCGGGGGAGTAAGTAATTTGCAGCTTTTTTAAAAAAAAGATTAACCTTGATTAACCTTTGGCTATTATTCAACATATATACAGTAAATATACAGTACTGTGCGAAGGTCTTAGACAGTCAAAGGAAATGATGTTTAAATGATCTTTATGCTGGTGTAAAATGTGATATTATGCCTGACAAAGTGTGTTAGCTTAACCACCTGAAAACCTCTTCTATAGCCACTGCGGTATTTTCCTACTCCAGTTCCATCCAGTGTTTTAGTTTGTGTTTATATTAATCATCTCTGTGTGCATGTATATGAAACTTTTTGTCTGATTTGCTGCTGTCTTGGCCAGGACGTCCTTGATGAAGAGATACTGTATCTCAGTGGAACTTTCCTGGTAAAATAAAGGATAAATAAATTAAATAAAAAAAACAATGTATTATTTGACCAGACCGACTTGGTATCTTGTATGGATTATCAATATCTGTTGGATTTTTTTAACTAATTAAATTCATTAATGAAGTGAGCTGGTGGTGAGATGTAATAAATACACAGAATGGCTGGGGTCTCCCTGAGGAGGGGTTTGGGAACTGAAGCGGTTCATCTAGGTATCCAACAAGGAATCAGTAAACTGTTTAGTGAACAGAGGAAATTCTTATTTCTTATTCGTCGGGTGAGTTTGGTGTGGAAGAACTTGACTGGCCCACACAGAGTCCTGACCTCAACCCCATCAAATACCTTTGGGATGAACTAGAAAGGAGAATGCGAGCCAGGCTTTCATGTCCAACATCAGTGCCTGACCTCACCAATGCAGTTCTGGATGAATGAGTAAAACCCCACAGACACACTCCAAAATCTTGTGTAAAGCCTTCCCAGAAGAGGGGCTGCTGTTATAACTGCAAAGATTTAGAATGGGATGTCATGAAAGTTTACGTAGATGTAATGGCCAGGTGTCCCAATACCTTTGTCCATGTAGGGTTTGCGACACAAGTAATCACCTGGGTTTTGGAAGCAGTATTTTGAGAATATATCTTAAAACACATGGACATCTGTGCTGTAACTGGATGGAATGGTTGTGACTGACAAATGGATTAAAATTTTTATTAATAGATTTTATAGACCTGAGGATGAAATAAATGAAATGTTTACGCTAGCAAGCAAAAGGGTCACTATGGTGGAATCAGTTCCAGGACAATTGGTGAACTTTGTTATTTATATAGTGCTTATATGCATTTGACATTTTTTTTGTGTGATTACATTCGTAATTCCATTACGTTTACGAGGACAGTACAAATTGATTCGATTTGTGAATATAACTCTTTAACACTCACCTCTTAAAAAATTGCAGGATATTGACAGCAAGCTACGGATTTAAGCTATCTGCAAGTTTATTTTCATGCGACAGCTTCATTTATGTAATTTGTGCAATTCATGCTGTATCTTCTTCTGGCTACTGAGAAATTGTTGTTTTTAACAACAATTTGCATTTGCATGCTTAAATGGCTTATTGTTCAACAGCCAAACATTTTAGACGGAGTATGTTTCCCCAAGGGTACAACAGATGTTCTCCCTCCGGAGACCATTTGTGTCGGAATTTAGGCTAATAATGATTACACCACCTGGCATCCAATGCAATAATGTTTTGGTTCCCTAATTTTCATTGGCTCGTGTTTCTGTGATGCCAGTCGTGATGGGCTTTACTGGCAGGCTTGCACTGCTGGAAATCTCTAGCAAGATCATTCCACACTGTTCCCCAGGAATTTTTACACGGTGTCCTCGCGTTAATTTGAATACAACGCTATTGTTGTTGTTTTTTTCCCACTGCATTGCAGCTTTGAATTTTCACTCAAAAGATAAATGACCGTTATTTCAAATTTTTTTTTTGATGCAAGAAACTGAAATCTGAAAAATGAAAGAGTGATAATACTGCCACCTACAGGAAATGAAAGGACCGACCATCCATGTATCCATCCATCCATCCTCTAACTCGGTATTTATCTTACAAGTTTGCCATTTTCAGTGGCTTGTGGAGTGTTTGGTAAAGAAAGAAAACACACACACACACAAACATACTCCACAACAGCCTCCCCCCCAACTACTCCCACCCCCCAGGCCGACAAACTACTGTATCCCCCACCCGGGCAACAAATTTGGCTTGTACTTTTTGACTCAACTAATAGCTCAGAGTTGTTATAATCTTATCTAGCTCTGATTTAAAGGAACCCAGGGTTTTAATTTGCACTACACTAGCAGGAAGACTATTCCATACTCTAACTACACGCTGTGTAAAGAAGTGCTTCCTCAAATTCAGTTTAAAATGTTCTTCCGCTAATTTCCACTATTGGTCACGAGTTCTTGTATTTAAACTAATATTAAAGTAGCCATTTGGCTGAACAGCATCCAGACCCGTTAGAATCTTATAGACCTGAATCATGTCCCCCCTTAATCTCCTTTGCTCAAGGCTAAACAGATTCAGCTCAGCTAACCTCTCCTCATAAGACATTCCTCTAAGACCAGGAATCATTCTCGTAGCCCTTCGTCGCACCGTTTCTAAGGCAGCAATGTCCTTTTTAAGGTATGGTGACCAAACCTGCACACAATATTCTAGGTGGGATTTTACCAAGGAATTGTACAATCTTAGCCTCACCCCCTCTGTCTTAAACTCCACACACCTAGAGATGTAACCCAACATCCTACTGGTCTTTTTAATTTCTTGCCCATGCTGGCGAGAGTGGGACATGGAAGCATCAACATCACCAGGAGAAGATGCATCTCAATGTTTTTGTACAAATGACGGATAAAGTATTGTTTCATTTTCGTTTAAAATCTGGGGGTTGCGTGGGGAGGGGTATATATAGCTATCCTCCAGGAAGTTGTAAGCCGTAGGGTGCTAACTGAAGTTCTATCGCCATGCTGTGAGATAAACCTCATGGGTAAACTTCACTGCAACAACTTCAGTCTTCTCATAATCTGTGAGTATTACAGAAATTGAACTGTGCAGAACTTTACAGTACTACTCCTATTACTGGTTACTGGTATGAGTAACATTTGTCAAGTTATTCTACTATTTGAAATAATACTAATAAAACACATATATCACACGTTACTTAGATGCGGTTAGATTTTTGTAAACAGCCTTAGAAATGATTCCAGTACCAATGGACAAAATTTAAGTGAGAGATTACAACATGCCATTTAAAGGTTTGAGTGCTTCTGAAACAGGCAGATGATGTACTGCAGAAAATTAGTATATTGGTACAACTACATTATCAGTCACCACAGGTTTTTACCACTTTTCCATTTATTTCATAGACTGATGGTTTGTTATTCTTATTAAGCATTTGAAAGTTGAGTAAACAACTATAAATGAAAATATAAGTCAAACAAAACACGTTTCCTTGATAACATGGAAAAAGTTTGTAACAGTGCATGTCTGACATCCTATTAACTGTTTATGTGGTGATGACAGAGTCACATTCTTGGCTGCCCTTTAGATTGAAATACACTAGTTAACTGTTTCATCCCTTGAAAGAGCAGTATTTAATGTTCCTTGTAGAAAAGAATGACTTGAATTTTCTCTGCTGTTGTAACTGCTAGAGGAGGTTACTTTGATCAATCAAAGATATGAGATTTTCTTGCTAATAAAGGTACTCAAATGGTGAACATGCTATAAATTTATTTGCTAGCAAAGAATATTGAGTGTACTTTTAGTAAATATTAAATGCGTAGAAATTCTGATTTGTTGTGATCTGCTGAGAAGGATATTACAAGAGGGAAACAGCTGTAACAGATTACTAGCTTTGGCTCAAGTTGATGTATCTGTTTAGACATGCTGCTGATGGAGGGAGGAGACGCACGTGTCTGTTCTGGGCAGGAGAAGTTCTATTAGATCCAATCCGGAGATGTTGGCTGCGTCTCCTCTGAGCACGGGCATAGATTTGGGCATGGGCATGGGCATGGGCATGGGCATGGGCATGTCCCTGCCAGTATCATGGCAGCACGGGGTGTGTTTAGGAGGCGGGGGCTTGAGGCTGTTTCGGGTCCTACCAATGTTGGAACCAAACCTACGTCCTAATTTCTGAGTTGTCTAAAAGTTGTGGAGATATGCACAATGTGGCTTTCTTCCATGAAAGACAGTGTAGAGTCTATGACGATATTTTATTTGGAAGTAACACTGTAGCCCCCCCCCCCAGGGACCAATTATTCCCCTACGTCTGTGTGGAGTTGCATGCTTTTCCCTGTTCAGGTGGGTGTCCTCTGGGAATTGTGGCTTCCTCCTGAAGTCCAAAAGCACGTGGTTAGATAATTGGCCGTAGCGGATAATGCTTTTTGGAGACTGAAACCTTGAATCGTTTCTGTCCTCCTAAGGCACTGTTCTGCAGATGTACCCAGCTGCTGTGCTGGAAGACGCGTGCCGGGGAGGAGATGTTCTCCTGCACTGCAGCGTGAAGCAGGAACACGAGATCTACT